CGATTCCGCCCATGCAACGAAAGCTCGAAGTTGATCGATGGAGCCAAAACTTTTGTTGTATCTCGGCGGTATCTGAATGAGACGATACACCGCACAAAAAACACTACACGAAGTCCCAGTTTGAAAAGTCTAGGCCAGGAGGACTAAAGAGCAAGTAATTCTCACCATTTATAAGTGCCTTTTGAAAGGGACAAAAGGTTACGTTTCTCATCCCAAGTGCCATTTTGTGCAGCAATAGCAAGAATTTGCTCGACAAGTTCAGGAGGAAGTTCTAGCGGTGCAAGAGTTTCAAATTTTAGAGGTAATAGTTCTCTTCTATGGAGCTAGCAAAGACATTACGTGGTGGATCCATAGTATTTCGAAATAGTGATGAGAGTTTGAGCAAGGTTAGCGAAGGAAGCGCTGGTTCAGTTCCACTCAAAAGCATGGCCCAGAACTACTCAAATTTGTGATCTGTGTACCTCCGCGAGAGGCTCAAACGAAGTGAACAGCTCCTCGGGAGGGCATCGTTGAACCGAGAATGCTGGGAATTCGTAGTGTTCCAGGGTAGCTCTCAACGAGCGGTCCCCAATAGATACTCGTAGTGTACAACCGTTGTACCGTAACCGTATAGAGCACGGTGCTCTTTAGGCTCAGAACCTGCTCGTTGGGACGAAAATTCCTTGTTATTAGTGTACGCTACCCGCCTTTTATACATAACTGTTTCCCTCAGATAGTAACTCCCACTTGTTTATTAGAGAATCACAGCCAGTTCATCTTAAATTCTAAGTCTTTTTGCCAAAGCTTCCTCCCCAATTTTCCATATCGAATTCCCCCCATTTAACTCTTTTCCATATTCGTCGTTCCAAGAGTATGTTACACGATTGAGAGCAGCGATCTTCTGGGACTGTTCAAACACCCATGGTCTTTCGCCGCGTCTAGTAGTGAAGACGAGAAGGAGGATAGAGAGCCGCGGAAGCCCCTCTTCAAAACTCACTATATGGTCCCTTGTGTAACCTAGACCCGGATTGAATATAATTAGGTAGGTTAGTGCCTCAAAACGTTGAAGAAAGTCAAGGTGGATAGAGTGGCCATGGGGAACAATTGTGAGGTGAGTGAGATGACGCAAAGCGTAGAGGGGCGAGTCATTGGGAGATGGTAGAGCTAAAGGATTCATATGCCAATCGAGGTTGAGTCGCTTCAAGTCTGGAAGTCGAAATATGGAGTCCCATACGACCGGGAGACATTGCGGTGATTCTAACCACTGACTGCAGAAGACCTCAAGCATCATTAAACCAGTCAGCTTTTGGAAAAGACGGCGCCAAATCTCTGGATCTTGGCCAGGAGTAGACAGAACAATGCGGAGAGCGTGTACCGCGGCATGCAAAAGTATGGCTGGCTTGGATTCAACCCATATAGAAAAAGCCAGAAGTTGTTCCATGTCGGAAATGCGACCAAGATGACGTCTGACTGGCAGCTGGATAATTCGAAAAACCGTGCAAAATACACTTTAGAATGTCTCAGTTGGAAAGCTGAAACTTAAGGTGGCTAAATAGAAAGTAACTCTCACCTGTTGTATGTGCTTTTAGAAAGAGACATAAGGCACTGTTTCTCATCCCAAGTACCGTTATATGCGGCTATGCCAAGAATGTGTTCTACAAGCTCGGGAGGAAGTTCTAACAATAAAGATAGTTGGACTTCAGAGGTAATAGATTCCTCTGCTAAAATAGAGAGACATTACGAGGTGGATCCATAGTTTTTTTCTAGATGGCGATGATAGTTTGAGAAAAGATGGTGGAGGAAGCGCTGGTCATGTTCAAGTGTTTTCAACTGGCTCACTGTGGTGGGGCCACCGAGTTGACTATGAGTAGCTTCGTGACCTACGAGGCAACTTCCATTTGCCAGTCTGTTCTCTGCATCATTTCAATTGCGGAAACAAGCCAAAGGGAACGAAAAACGCGGGTTCATAAAACAGAACTCTTTGGTACGACAATGTAGGTACCCTTGTAAGGTAAAAAGTGCGTAAATGAATGAGTATGATTGTAAATGATCATGAATATAACCAACCACCGTAACTAAAGTTCGTACAAATACATGTTCAACACAAAGTACACAAATGGAAATCTTGGCCAGAGTCCGACGAAGAAAAACAGAAAAGAAGTGGCCGTTTATGTGTATGTTGTTGATTTTTACTTCTTCGTCAAAGACGGATGAAGCATTTGCTCATGTAGAGCTTTTCCAGCAGGAACCTATAAAATCATAAGCAAACTACAATGCCTCCAAATAAAGAACCACCAACCATAGGAAACACATGCTCATTCTTCTCAACCAAACACTCCATCAACACCGGCCTCGCCCCATCATACTCCAAAAACTCCTTCATCTTCTCCTCCAACTCCCCCTTATGCCTAACTCTAATCCCCTTCACACCCATCGCCTCTGCCAATTTCACAAAATCAGGATTGGTCATAGCAGTATGCGAATACCGATTCTCGTAAAAGAGATCTTGCCATTGCAAGACCATCCCTTGGAATTCATTGTTGAGGACGAGAATTTTGACCCCGATGTTGTATTGGGATGCGGTTGCGAGTTCCATTGCTGTCATGCTGAAGGAGGCGTCGCCGTCGATGTCGATGACGGTTTTTTGAGGTGCTGCGACTTTGGCGCCGATTGCTGCTGGGAGTCCGAAGCCCATGGTCTACAAGAACGAAAAAAAAACGTATGAGTGAAAGGAACTGGAAAGAGAACAATGGAAGACATACACCAAGTCCACCTGAAGTAACCATTGTCCTAGGATGTGTCCATCGATAAAACTGAGCTGCCCACATTTGATGTTGACCAACACCTGTTGTAATAATCGTCTCAGATTTCTTCCCGTTCTCAGTTGTAAGCTTGTCCAAGCATGAAATGACCTCCTGAGGCTTCATCTTGAAACCTTCCTTCATAACCTCCTCAGCCATTTCCTCGGTCACACCAGTCTCCAACGAGCATGAGGGTGACTCGGTTTGAGACGGTGAAATAGATTCAACAGTCACGGACGACGTGGTAGAGATGGTAGGCTGTTCAGTTTTTGAAGGTGGCGAGGTCTCGACGGTAGCCGTAGGTGATGTAGGCACTTTGGATGGAACATAAGTGAAAGGGTAGTCCTTCTTCCACTGGTTGATCTTGTTAAACCAAGGTTCACGAGGTGAGTGTTTGATGAAAGGAAGGAGTTGAGTCATGTTGGAGATGACGTCTCCAAGGATAGGAACGGAGGCTTGGACGACTTTGTTCATGTTCTTGGGCATAATTTCAAAGTGGATGATACCGCCACGACCTTCAAGGGCAGCTTGACGTGCAGCGGGTGCGAAAGTGTCGATCTAAAAAACCAGAATGAGTATAGGTACATGAGAACAGAACAATGGATGTTACCTTGCCAGTTATGCGATCATCAAATCGTGCTCCCAAAGCCACAATCACATCTGCCTCTTGCATCGCAAAGTTGGCATAAGGTGAGCCGTGCATGCCCAACATGCACAAACTTCGAGGACTGTGCTCGTCGAATGCGCCGAGACCCAAGAGGGTAGTTGTCACTGGGATGTTACCCCGCTCTGATACTTGGGCGAGAAGTTTGGGACCCTCATCAGACGAGAGAACACCTCCTCCGACGAGGAATAACGGTGTTTTTGCGTTGTTGATGAGGTTGGCAGCTGTTTCGAGGAGGGCAGGATCGGAAGGAAGTTCGAGTGCGGCGAGGGGATTTTGGGGGAGAGGCGCTGAACCAGGTGTTGTCGCCCTGAATGGCAACGGGGTCGTGAGGATGCCAGCGGTGACGTCTTTGGGTAGATCGACCAACACCGGGCCTGGACGACCAGAGGTAGCAATCTTGAACGCTTCGTTGATTCTCCGAGGAAGCTCAGTGATGTCTTTCACCATGACATTCCATTTTGTACATGAGCGGGAGATGCCCACAACATCCGCTTCCTGGAATCCGTCCGATCCAATAGCTGAGGTTGCTACCTGACCAGTGAACACGACCAAAGGGATGCCATCGGAGAGAGCATCTTGCATGGGTGTGATCACGTTCGTCGCGCCGGGACCAGAGGTGACAACGACGACACCAGGTTTCCCAGACACACGAGCATAACCTTCTGCCATATGCCCTGCGCCCTGTTCATGTCGAGGAAGAACGAAATCAAAGTGCGGAGATTGGTAGATGGCATCGAACACAGGGAGGATTGCTCCACCGGGGTATCCAAAAATTTGCTTGACGTTATGTCTGAGCATCATCTCATGGAAAATTTGACCGCCGCTTAGTCCAACGAAGCTGTGGTCCAACGGTTGGTTTGGCGCAGGGCCTGCCAAGGGAAAGTCGATTCGGGAATTCGTCGGCCGACTAGCAAAAACAAAAGTTCATTCCGTGTCCTCAACACAGAGCCAGTGAAATATTGAACATACGATGGAGCAGGAGATGCCTGCTTGATAGAAGACCGTGAAATGTTCCGAGCATGTTCTCGCACACGCGATTTGGCATCGACCATGGATGCAGAGGTAGTCGTCGCAGAGGTCGTCGACCTACAGCGCACAAAGGCACCTTTTGTGCTTTTGGCTGTCGCTTTCCGTGCAGCATGCATTTTTGGGGAGGAGGAAGAGGAGGAAGAAAGGGGGGTTGGAGGTCGTGGTTAAGAGCAAGAAACGATCTGAACTCCCGAGTCAAGTTTTCTGTGATCATTTTCCATTTCGGCCGAAACAACTTCCGTTCAATTCTTTCATCTCCGCCCAATGTTCCAAACACGGAATACGACTCGAAACACGTCGTTCAGCTGTCCGTCTGAGAGTTTGTTTTTTTACACATGACTCAACGAGTACCGGTAAAGTACCGCCTGAAATGCCGAGAATGGCCGATGGTTAGGATTCAGTTGTGGAGCTGCAGTTTTGGGTCTGGCCGATATGCAGCAGTCTTTTAGTTTGTGGTCAAGTAACCGTGGTTTAGAGGGCTAAGGTTCAAGCAAAAAGGATTTGACGTACTGAAGAGTCAAAAACGACGGTGACAGGACTCGAACCTGCAACCACTTGGTGGAACTTCATTGGCATCGAAGCCAAGTACGCTGCCATTGCGCCACACCGTCTGCTTGAAGATCTGCAGGAGAATGTCGTTCTTTATAGAGAAGCACTTGCCTCGAGGCAGACCCAACTCCTTCACTTTCTTCCTCCTTAAAACCTGATACGCGTCGAATGAATCTTGAATAACAGATGAGAATTCTGCTCAATAGTGCATTTATATATACTGTACTCGTATGAGTGAGATGATATAGCACCTACAAAGAGCTTTGACCACCAACTGAGCAAAAAAAAATATCCGTGCGGGCATGAATTTGAGATTTAGTGTGTTTTACGCTTTTCAAAAAGAGATCAAGGCAGGAATTTTGGACATGCGTGTACCTTTGCTGCTGAGCTTTTTGCACCTTGGTTGCTCAAGCGGTGTTGGGTCAAGGGAGCTTGTTCTCCTCTTCCTGTCCCTTTGAAATCTCACATCCACATCGTATCTCTCATACCAGCCATTTGACTTAGTTCTTTATTCTGCTCAGGGTCACAGATGTGCACTTGAATCCTACCTTTGTATACCCCGCGCCTGTGATAGCTGCGAACTGAACCTCCATGGAAGTGGATGTGGAGTCGTAGGTATGTTCCACCATAGAATACGTACAGCATCCTGAAGTCCAAGCCATTGGCTTGGTTGCGGTTGTGGCTTGAAGCGATGATTTTATCGAGACAGGTCTCTTGCGGATCTCCTAAAACTGGGGGGGCTCAACGACCTTCAACAGCTTCAATCCTTGCCACCTCCACCCATCTCAAGCAATCAAGGATATGCAAACTTTCTACAAGCCCCGTCAGAAACTGGTGGCATTACTCATTCTGGGTTTTCTGAGGATACTTTCCACACTTATTGCTGCCGCCTTCCTCCCCTCTGGCTATGCACTTCCAGTAACCCGCATCTATGGTGATGATTATCGGATTTTTCAGAGTGTGCTTGGCACTCCCTTAATCGGTCTATCTCTTTTGGTTGTTTTCTGGATATCCCGTAAAGTCATGCGGGAGAAAACTAACCTCCTGGAACCTGCACAGGAAGATACGGATTCTCAATTCGAAACACTGCATATCATCGATCTCTTGAAGCCTCTCTTCCCCGTTGGATGCATCTTCTTCGTCGTCTTATTATTTGCCTGTAGCACCCTATCCACCATTTGGGTACATTTAGGCTATGACAAAGTTCCTCTCTTCATCTCGTCCCATCCAAGTACCACCTTTGTCCCTGTTTCTGGATTCTATGGACCTGGAACGTGGTTAGCACTACTTGGAACTGCAGTAGTTATGATGGTTCCATTGGTTCGAGGGGCAGTGTCACAGACTCCGCCTACAACATGGAGCGCCGAACTCGTTACTCTACTGGTTTATACACTGACAGCCAGTTATGACCTTTTCTCTAAGCACGATGCAATATTCAAAGAACATGACCGTATCGACGTTACTCTCTTCCCCGCCCTCGTGGCAGCAACTCGAGCCACAGCCTTTGGTGCTGGCATACTAGAAATCTCTGCTATCCTCCTCCTTATTTCTCACAATCAGGATAATTCATATGTTGCCACCTTCCAGCTTCTGCTGGCATGGGGGAGCTCAGTTGTTGCTTTGGTTGTCATGTGCCCTCTTACGAAGGCTTGGGACTGCGAACAGGATGGTCAATCCTGCATCAGCCTGGCTCCTTCACATACATTCCTTGTTCGTCAACATAGGGATTCTATTGGTGAGATGCGAGAGATAGTGCTCGCATTTTATCCCTCCCAACTTCCCCTCTTCGTAAATGACCATAGAACATCGTTCAAGGTGTTGGCAGCATTTATGGGATTGATGGGATTGACGGGATTTACTATTGCATTGGTCATTGGACTACGCGCAGCCATGAAACTGGCTAGGGTTCCTTTGGCAATGGTCCCCGCCTTTGCCCTTACTTCTGCTTTTGCCTGTGTATCTGCCCTTGCCTTCTTCTACTTTACACCTCTCATAACTTTCATTGTTACATTGCTGATGCTCGATATAGCGATTTATCCGCTTATATATCTTGTCTCCTTATTGCCAGTATTGGTGTTGTCTGCCGTCCCCGGGCAGAGTCTCTCTCCATACTCAGGCATTTCCATCCGGGAAATTGATCAAATGAGCGCACTACTTGCCTTGATTATATACACTATTTTCCAGCATGGACATCATATTTTATCTATCGTTCTCTACCTCAAAACAGTAGTACGCTCCAGGACCAGACGTCCCGAAGACGAGCAAATAGACCTAGAGGAGGCTCTACCAAGTGAAAGTAGCCCATAATAGTTAACACTTTTTGCTAAAACAAAATATTGGGTTAATGACAAATTCAGTTATTTATATGCACTTTTTAACAAGGGAGTTTACTATATGAAAGAATACTATATTCGAGATCTTTGAAAAGGTGACCCAGTTGATGTAGCGGCTGCTATTCTTCAATACTCTTCCTTACCATGACCATCAGGTTCCCGTATCAGGTCTTGTTCATTTCTATGCATAAAAGCAAAGCACTTCAATCTTATTAATCCTATCTAGTCTGTTCTGGTCTCTTATCTTGGTCTGTCTGAAGTCGAGAAGAGCCAGTCGCAATCCCTCAGTGAAATCACGCAACACCTCCCGGGTCTTACGTCGAGCACCCCACATCATTATTTCCCGAACCTCTCTCATGTTTGTAATGCCATTCTCAGTAATCAACCACCATGATTCGTCCACTTCTGTTCCTTGGTGCTGCGAGGGTGGCGAGCGGGCAGATGCAAACGCAAATGCCGTTTAACGCACACTTCCCTCAACATGAACAGGATACATATGAATTCCAATGGCCGGTGAAGAATGTAGCTATCATTGGAGCTGGTGTTGGGTATGTAAACCTCCTTATCTCGTTCCTTCCCAAACTCAACTTCTCAACGCCACTTCCTCTCACAGGGGGCTTATGGCTTTTCGTACATTCACGGAAACTGGTTCATTCGACTCCATTCGCGTCTTTGAACGAGACAACATGCCTGGAGGCAATTGGCATTATACTGAAGAAACGCCCGTTTCGACGTCTGTTCATAATCAAACTTCAGATTGGTGGACAGGAGACTATGATCCTACACATCCACCTCTGGTTCCGTCTAACATTACTCATCGCGTCGGAAAGGATGGAAGTCCGTCTAAGGAGACTCTTGAATGGGAACGTCTAGTCCACCGTTCTCCAACACCCGTTTGGGCTTCGTTAGAAGCGAATACACCTTCCCCTCAACAGCAGGTGCGTCTCTTCTAGCCTGTCTCAGTTCCATTCCTCTAACTGTGTCTTTTTTTAAAAAAGATCCCCGGCTTCTCATGGCCAGACAAGACTCCATGGGCAACCAATCAACCAGAGGTACAGAAATACCTCCGGTCATTTGCTTCTTGGCTTGGTATCAACTATGGAGACAACAATCCCAGCATCTCGTACAATACTCGCGTCGAGTCTGTTACGAAACGTTTTAACTCTATTACGGGCGAGCATCATGGATGGAGGTTACTACTGCGCAAGTTCGTTAAAACGAATGAAGGGACGTATGAGGAGTCTTGGTGGGAGGAGGTTCGTTTATCCTTGCAACTCAAGAGTCAATTAGTCTGATTCATGTGTTCTGGGAATTAGCATTTTGATGCCGTGGTAGTTGCGACTGGCAGATTCAACGTTCCTTACATTCCGCCAATCCCTGGACTAGAGGATTGGCAGAAACGTTTCCCAGAACGTGTTCAGCATGCCAGGCAGTATCGCAGGCCTGAACCTTATGAAGGTCGCAACGTCATTGTCGTCGGAGCTGGGGTATGGATCTTCAAATGTTGTATTCAAAGAAGCTAATCATGATTACAGCCCAGTGCTACGGAGGTTTCTAGAGATGTAAACAAAGTTGTGAACGCAAGCTATTTATCAGTCAGAGTACGTACCACCTTTTCTCGTTCAACTAACAATGTTCTCATTAGATCTTACTTTGGCCAGACTTCAAAAGGTTTGCCTCCTCGATCACTTGTCCCTTTAAGTTGCAATATCTGAATATATTCAGACACACGCATCCCACGTTCATTTTTCCTAAGTCGAGTTCCAAGCAATACAACTGTTGTCGGCGAAATCAAATCATTTCGTCCTATTACCTTGAACCAGGGTATCAGAGATGGCGTCATTGAGCTGGTCAATGGAACGGTAAGCTCTCTGAGCACACTTTCGAAAGACTGGCATCACTCATCCTTTACACAACGTAGCTTCTTACTGGTATAGACACCATCATAATGGGAACAGGATACCGATATGGGTTCCCCTTTCTCTCTCAATACCATAATTCATCCGTTGTGGGAGATGATATTCCAGATGTACCTGAACAACCCCTTGTCACTGATGGTACTCATGTTCGCTCGCTTTTCTACGACGTGTTTTACATCGACCAACCTACCATTGGGTTCTTAAACTGTATGTTTCTCTCTCCTTCGTGGCTGTTCCATGTCTTACCCGCTTTATTCAGTAAACACTGGCATGCAAGCATTTACGTACGGAAGATATACTTCCACCGTATTGGCGAAAGTATGGAGTGGACATGCTTCACTTCCCTCCAAGAAGCGACAATGGGATCACTTCTGGAGTTCAGTTGAGAGTCGAGGTGGATTGAATAAGAGATTCCAGTGGCTTAGTGAAGGTGCAACTACCTGTGAGCAGAGACGCTTTTCATGATACTGCTATCTCGCTCATTTACTTACTCCGGCCCTCGATAGACAACGAACGTCATTTTATTGGATGGCTTAATGCTGCTGCTATTCATCATGGAGGGAGTCTTGTTGAAACACCCCCAGACAGGTGCTTTGTTTTCATTTTTTCGGCTCGTTTGGACCTGGACTGACAGCTGTTTGTGAAATTTTAGCTCCGAGGTAATGAAGTTTTGGGTTAGGGCTCGTTACGGAGCAGATTTGCCAGGCAGCGTAAATGCGTCTATGGCCTGGGCTGATCCTCGAAGCCCTCTTTTTGACACGGCTATAGAGCAGAGTTACTTAAAAGCACTTCTGGACGACTGGTAAGGGT